ATAGACATTGGAAACATTCCTTGTGTGTTTGTAATGAAACAACGATGGATTATATGTGAATAGTTAATTAATTAACGATTAAATCTAGGCTGTGGGTGAACCGAATAAACATAGTGATATAGTTCATTTGTAATTGATAGATAAGTCGGCTTGTGAGGATTCGTCTCTGGCCTAATCGTAAATGCACCGACGCGTACAAAATCATGTTCTTTCTCGTTGTAAGATTGATGTAGGTATTAGTGATCTTAGATTCGATAGCTATAAAATTAATTGCCTAAAAGTAATCTCTTTAACATTTGTCAATTTGTTGTGTATTTCGTGATAAATGTAACAATTCTTTTTTTTAGAAAATAAGAATATTTATTCGGTGTTTAAAATTATATGACAAAATTACGAAATAAAAAAAATAAAAAAATAAAACTGCAGATTATTATACTATGAGGTAAAACAATATAATCTAAGAGTCCCAAGCTTTAAAATGTTTAAATACCAGCTAATTGTAATTGATATTTGTTGTGCATTAATCGATTAGGCGTTCTCATGGATTGGATAAAAATAATATGTCGTTTACCTATAAATTTAACGAATAGTGTCGTCCTCATTTAGTATAGATATAATTTTACATATCGTTAAATATATTATCGTCGGCATTCAGCCCTTGCAGGTCATAAAGTGATATCTTAAATATAGTGGATAACATATACCACGTGATATTTTAGGTAAACACTATCGTTATAAGTAAAATATACTATGCATAATATTGCTATGTAATCATATGACAGTGGATTCAATGTATATCCTGTTATAATGTGTATATGATAGCTTACTGATAATTTACGTTTCCACTGTCGTAATACTTGTTAGACAACAATATGTTGTAATGCAAGTATTTCAACATTGAAATTGCACGGTATTTGTGTATTTAAATATACGTTTAAACGTTCTTGCTTAGTTTACGACGCGGTATAGCTGTTATAAAGCTGTATTTTAATCATTTACGTAGATAGAACGCACTGTGTAATTCCGGGATGCATTTATAATAACCAAAACATGTAAAAATATTAATATAAGATACGCTTGTAGTTGAATTCATAGATTTAAATTGACAAACAGTTTTATACAACTTATTCGATTTAGTTTTCATAATATACTTAGGATTCATAAAGTCTAAATGTGGTTTCAAATGCAATTAAATTTAACGGTCAAATACAGCATATTACGGGCATAAAGCACCTCACAGACGAGCGGATATGGTAGAATAATAATGTACGGAAAAGCTTCCTACACACTAACTATCGGAATTTGGTTGGAAACATATACTACTTTTGTAAGTGGTTTTTATGGTAATATAAGTGACAATACATCGGCTAAAATCTCTCCTAAAACCTAAATTAGGAATAGTCTGAATATAGAACATTTTCATTTGTGTTAGGTAACATTTGTAACCGTTTTAAAAGCAAGTCAGTTTGAAAAAAATGCATTTGTTTTTAGGTTTTTCTTAATTTAAATCTATGAACAAGGCGGAGTTCGCAATGACTGAATAGATATTGTATTGTAGCCCGCATATAGCGCTTTAACACGTTTCTTTATAGTAAATAATCATCCTAAACTATATATAAGATTTGCCTATAGATGTTTGAACACATACGACTACAATTATCATTTTCACATCTCATGTTTCGGATAGTTGACATTGCTATTTTTTTTTCGTTTTTAAATGCTGCAATATTTCTATTGGTAGAGACTTTTTAAGGCGAAATATTTATCATAAATATGATAAAGTCATTCTTCTTTGTAGATATTTGGTTGTGTGGTACAAACTCATTTCATACAGCCAACATAAGAACACTTTGAAGGTCCGTTCAGACAGAACGACGCGAAGAACATAACCAAACATTTATCGTAAATGTAATTGAGCTTATACGATTGAAACAAAGTATTATTATACTTAGTACGTCTTGATTTATCAATAACTGTGGAAAGTAAAATTAAACCTTGTTTCAATGTTATAAAGCTCAGTTTAGTTTACGAGAAAAAACTGTCAGTTTGAACGAACCCTTGGTTGTCCACTTTATAAATTGCAGCTTTACCAAACAACTAAATTGCCATTACATTTTGGCTAACATATTAATTAATAGAAGTGTCGGAACGGTCATTTTAATTCTACGGTAAAATTAAATGTGCTGTGAGTGAACAATGAGCATAATATATATAAAATGGTTATTAGTAAGAAAATAATAAAGATATTAGTTCTGTTTAATCACGTCTTAGCTTTGGATAATATTTATGTGACTTGCGTATAAATAGTTTGCGCATTTTGGTAAAAACTTTTACCCTTTTAATGTAAAAGGTTTTATAAAATATCGTAAAATGCTTAAAACTGATTATATAATGCGTGTGTTTTTAAATCTATAATGTAATAATAAAAAAAAATAATTTATATTATATGCACTGTCTTAACATATTTAAAAACTTTTACGTTGAACTATGTAGTTGTTTTCTAATCTGTTTAAATATATAGTTCGTTATGTATTGAATAAAACGAAATTGCTATAATCCTCTATGTAATCGATCACATAAATATATTTAGTGGAAGTAATCACCATTGAAAAAAATACGCTTTTCTTGTAATGATCGTCGCAAAAGTCCCTATTTGTTTAAATCTTATTAATATATTTTATATGTCATATTATACTTTATGCAACGGCTACATTTTTGCGACATTTCTGATGGAATCTGTTCTGATATATTTCGAAATATTTTTACAATGCAACTTTGTAATATCAGTGAAAAAAATTACGCACAAATGAAGCCGAAGCAAAAATCGAACAAGTTTATTTAAATATTATAATCATAAATCATAATTTAATTGAAATAAATTCTTTTTTTTTTAGATTTTAAATTTTTAATCAAAAAATTTATATTAAATTATTTATTTAATATTCACAATTAGCTTCAATAAAATGTCGTAAATGTGTAATGCAAATATTTAAGTCATTATCGATGTAATTCTTTTGTCAACTTATCAAATAAATGCTAATATTTTTCCTTTTTAAAAAATCAGCTTTTTGACGTTTCTTACAAAATTTAACAACGAATTAACGGTTATGATAAGCCAATTAATGGTACAAAGTCAAACAAGACGACGTCTTGCTCAAAAACAAAATGGTTGTTACATATTTTTATTAATTGGCAATTTGGTCTTTGTGTGTCTGTTTCAGTATAAGTAAATAAATCGTTTAGACTAAACTCTCGTCATCCTTAGAATCCATTTAAGTTAAACTAGTGTTGTTCCCAAAGCACAAATTAGTTTTCGAATAAATGTAAGCAAGTAGTGAAACTTTATTTATTTAATTAACGTTAAAATATGCGTAACACTTTGTTAAAATTAATGTTACAGTTACATCACGACGCATGTAATGCACTTTTGTAACACTTATAAAGTAAGTTAGGTCATTTTGTTTTTTTAAATAACTTTGAAATAAGAAAGATTTCAAAAGAAAATATTCGTGTTTTATTTATGTAGTTAAAACAATGTCTGGGCAATTCGTACCACTTAAAGATTAGACGAAAATACGTCAATTTATTATTATAAATGTAAAAAAACACACGAACTTTATCGCTTAATTCAATATGCGTTGCAATGCCAAAGCTAATGTAATAATAAAGTAACGTAATTGCAAACAAAAAGCAACCATTTTTGGATTCCACGACACAAATCTCTAGTATTCTAAGAATAACCTCAAATACTTCATAAAAATCTGTTCAATCGTTTAATAAAACAAATATTATTGGACCTCTGAGTAAGTTGTAGAATTCAGTCTTAACACGTTAGCTGCCATGTTGGACTATATGTCCGACAAGCTAATGTTTCAATCAGGCCGTGTCGGACTATGTGACCGACAAGCCATACTTCCATTCAACACCTCGCTGTGGCTTGTCGGATGCTTTTTGATCGAATTGTTGTATACAGCGTGACCTGCAAGGCCCCATAAAGCAATTTTTGTCGTTTTTTGAATAATTCTGGCAGCTGACATGTTAAAGAACTCATAGGCTACAAACAAATAAAATTTTAATAATAATCAAATTTTAAAATATGAACAAACTATAGTGCGCAATATCAAATCTGCGCAAAAATAATAAAATCTCCGAAACAGAATTACAAATTCATTACGGAAATACCTAGATAAGTGCAAAACGACTTATACGTTGTGTCTTAAATAATGCCTAGTTTATATTATGCCAGTACAGTAGGACAGTAGCACTGGCTTAACATGAACTCTGGGTTACTGAGGCTAGTTAATGTTTATTTCAGTCAGTTGTATGCCAGTTGTATGCTAATGCTGTTTTTAGCGCTACTGGCATAATGTAAACCAGACATAACGAAATTAGTAAGATGTACAATTAATTCGAAAAATGAAATAAATTACTGGTAAGTAGATGTGCTTCCAGTGTTGTGGTAATTGATAATAGTAGGATCTCGATAAGTCGAACCTCGTAGTCTAAATCCTAGACGAAATTAATTGTTATTCTCTTTTTTTACCTTCTATCTCCTAATTCTCATTCCAGGACCACACTAATTGTGTAAAAAAAAGTTTGACTGCATTTTTTTAGGATTTTTTCTCTAATACAAAAAATCTTACAAAAGAAGAAGTTACAAAAAATGAAGCTAAAATATTCATGGAGGTAACGAATCAGTTATTATATTGCTTCTTTGCAAGGATAAGAAGACATAATTAACAAAGAACCTAAGACTATACACAAAACATAAACTAAGTGAAATTATGTAAGTTATAAGTTATTACTTTATTGTAAGTTCACAACTTGATACTTTTACTTTGTTCCGTTATTATTATAGTAATAATTATTATGTCAACGTCTTTCTTTACAGCGCTGTTGGTGGAGTTAAAACATAGCTTTTTACCGTTTTAATAAAATTTATCGCTTGACTAACAAACGAAAACCTATAATTTTCTTGACGTTGTCGTCTCTACGTTTAGTTCTTTCAGAAATAAGTAATGAAGCGAACGACGACGCCCCTGTTGGTGTCAGCCAATGAAGTGTCTCAGAACGCTGCTTGAACCTTACAAATGTCGCCCCGCCTTGTCTCCAACCGCCCCATTGCACAACCGCCCCTAAATCAAAGTTCGAGTTCCTAACCTTAGCTTCGGTTGTCCGCCAACTCCTGTTGTCTGTGAGTTTTTTTTACCTTTATTAATTAAAAGAAATATTTTTTTAATTTGCAATATCGTATAGTGTAGTGTAAGCGTCGAATTCTATAAATATTTGTGTAATTAATTTATTGTAAATTTATTTTACATAAAATCCATAAATATGTATTTTTTACATTTCCAACTATAGAGAATAGAGTCTTAACTAAGCTAAAATTATTGCGAAATGTAACGCGAAATTTCTCCTCGATAGTCATTTCGTTATAAAATTAATGGAATTCAAATTTTATGTCGTTTACCTATTCTGTGAAAAGCGTAAGTATATTTAATTTTTAAATTATAACAATATATTATTAATATAAAGTGGGTGTGCTATTTTTATTTTTTAAGAATTTTTAATATATATTTTCATTTTTAACCCTATAAGATAAGAATTAACATACACCTTTGAAAAGAGAACCAGAATCTCCATACTTTTCTAGAAAATGTAACACAAAATAGACTTTTCTTAATTTATGGAATTTAATTAATTTGCACACTTTAGAATTTTCACTGAAAGAATGTTACGATGTACGGTTAATATCTTATATCTTTAAATAAGCAATTCTTGTATATATTATATATAATTGGAATCTCGGAATCGGCTCCAACGATGTTTATAAAATTTAGTATATAGGTGGTTTCGGGGGCGATAAATCGATCTAGCTAGGAACCATTTTTAGAAAATGTCATTTTATTCGTGTTTTATCGATAATGAACTTAAACATAAACTTAACTTTTTCTATCGGTAAGATCGAAGAATATTATTCATATTATCATATTATTAGTAATTCGTACTTAAATATAATTTCCAAAAAACACAATTTAAAAAAAAATACCGGTCTCCAGATTTTAATCTATAAAGCTCAAACTATAATCGTTAGAATTATGATATCTCCATTTTAATACTTTTTACAACGACATCAATCTATTCCCTGAAACTATTTGTGTAGAACTTTAAATAGAAATAATCGCTAAAGTCTCATTGGTAATACAAGATTTACTGACAAAATCAATTACAAACAATAAAAAACTGAATTGTTGAGAAACTAAAGGAATCACTTTATCATTTATCATTTTAAACTAACTGATTTTGTTGATTCATCTTACAGTCAAAAATTCAAAGGGTGATTAGTTTTATTTTTATTAACCCATTAGTGCATAACGTTGGATAAATCGGACGCCAATAAAATTTTGATTTTAGGAGTTATACATATTTTACTAACCGTATATTTTTTTAAACAACAGTGTAATATATATATTTAAAGTAATACTGTTGGTTTGACATTTTGGGAAGCGATTTATCGGACAGGCTATAAAATCTAAACTTTCATATTGATTAAATATTTTATACAATTTAATGGTCAAATACACTCGAAATGAAAATATATTACAGTGATCATAATGAAAAAGGCGTTAATAAACTTTATGCACTAATGGGTTAAATTAAAAATGCCTCGCGTATATGATATGTTTTGAAAAACGTGGTAATAGAATTTCAAAATGTTCATCCCTAACGCTTTTATTAATAATTCGATTATAAATTTACTATTATTAATCCTTTGAAAAAGTTTATTTTGAGGCATTTTGTTTACCTACTGTTGCATTAAAACTTTCGAACTAATTCCAAAATCTCTATATAAAACATATCATCCCTGTTAATATCTATAACAACACAGAGATAATATGTTTTAAACTGAGATTTAGACTCAGAAACCCACGGTAAATATTCATCTCTACTCTCATTAACTCAATTATCAGGATCTTAACTTTTGTGTATACTAGTAGATCTTAAGATAAATTTTGTGTATAATAGTACCTTCAAATATTTCTATTTAAATACATCATCAATAGGTTATCGATGTTTAATCTGACATACGGTATATTATATCGCCCTCAAAAGTCAAGCACAAGTAACGCGGGGTAGCGACGTTTACCATTAATAGATAATTAGCGTCAGTTGCGGTGGCAAGGCGTTTACAACATACGGCGTAATTGTAGCACAAACACAACGCCCAAAGGCCGCCGGCTTACTAATGACCATCGCGTGGCATATCGTAAAACACAGATACCGATTTGTTCCGTTTCGAAACGATCGTATCATAGTTTGTCATGATTATACACAGAATGATCTATATTTATCGGCAAATGTTTTACTTTTACAAATATATAATAAAAACTGTCAACCACGACTTCGTCCGCGCGGAATTTAAAAAAATTGTAGCCTATGTGTTCTTCCAGACTTTGTTCTACATCCACGCCAAATTTCATCGTGATCTATTGTGCTGTACTGGAGATACTTTCTAACAAACATCAATCCAAACTATCCCATTTATAATATTAGTAAAATAATAAGATTTAAGATATATAAGCTTAATAAATACATAATCAAAGTGCTACGATATCACAGTCTACGAGAAAAATATGTTTTGAAATGTTTTTTCAAACCTATTTAAAAGTGTAATTTTTTTTTTATTTTGACAATGAACAACTCACGAGGATGTTAATATCTCTAAAATATATAGAAATAAAGAGGCAATTATCTATACATATTAATAAAATTGGAAAGTCAGTATGTAATATCGAAAAACAAAATTCGAGGTGATGCATGCGGGCATGTTTTAGGCTACTTTTTTTTCTAATCTGTGCCGACAAAGTCACGGGCCACCGTTAGTAATACAATAAAATAGCGTTTAATTTCTTTTAATCTAATTATTTCTTGAAACACATACTAATTAGGTAATAAATTCAAATTTATGTACACTATTCATGATATTAAGCAACATATTTCAATCAAATTCAAGATAAAATTACAAACAATTCTAATTTTTATATAGTCATTTTACTTATTGAATAAATCTATATTTAAAGGCGATAAGACTTATAATTACAATATAGTTCGTACTTGTTAATTAAATGTCTTAACATACTTAAAAAGTCAACCACTTTTATAGCAGGAATCGTCAAAATTAATAAATTTATATTGGGGTTTGTAACTTGAACAGCCATCAGTCCGCGATGTCAGGTGTCAGTTCTCACGGTGCGCGGGCCAACGCCATTATCTCTATTCTTTTATGATGACAGTTCCTTACGCGACTTCCTTGACGTCATCATTGTCACTTCCACCGCATACTAAGGGTTTTTATTGCGCCATTTTTTTCCCAAAGAAAAAATAACTGCTTTTGTTCCTTGAGATGTAGATATAGATTTAATAAAATATCGTCTGAAACAAGGCCTTTCTTATGCTGTAAAAATTTTTGTTTTCATGACACAATAATAAGAAATATTTAGTCTTATTTTATTAAAATATTATTTGATGCCATAGACTATGTATGCACTATGAATAATTTTCCTCATCTATTTCTCTATGCTCCCAACTTTACAGGAAAATATTCTTTTTTAAATTTCATTTTCATGCTTCCAGCTTTAAGTCGTGTCAAAAATTTCGTTGCACTCGTTTAAAAGGTGATTTGCACACTCGGTAGACTTAACGACAAAAGGCCTCGTGTTGCCTACACTGAGCGCAGCTTCTATCGACAATCGATTATTAATAGCATCAGAAACATGACGCAGCACAACTCTTTCAAATTCCCCGCAAATGTCGCGAGGATGTTCACCAAATTGAACCATTGTATTAACATATTCTTATGCGCATATTTTTAAATTTATTATGCGAACTTTTGTCGCCAATATTTCGCAGATACGATTTTGATGATGATGGGTTACGGGGATTTAAGGGTACGACATATATTTAGAATAATTTATGACTAAATAAATAGTATTTGCTCTCGAAAAAGTAAGCTACGGTTAATGTTAGTAGCGTATTTATTAGGATCCAAAACGTCTAATAGTCTACTATGTCTTTAGGTTTCTAAAATTGAAAATATTTGTGTGAAAACATCTTTGCTCTTATTATCATTAAAGAAACAGAGAATGACTACTCTCTTCATCTATATCACTGTGTTATCCAAGGTTTTTAGCGGTATCTAACTATTAGGTTTTATGAAATTTAGTGTAAATGTGTAATATGTTATGTAAGTATTATGATACTAAGTAGATGATGGAGAGGAGGGAAGGTAAACCGGAGGTGTTATGCCGTGTTTGCGGAGACAAGGCGTCGGGCAAACACTACGGCGTGCCTTCCTGCGACGGTTGCAGAGGTTTCTTCAAAAGAAGCATTAGAAGGTAAACATACGACAATTTTCTAAAATAGAGAAAGAAGGGAAATCTTTGCTCGCTCCAAAATGTGTCCTTTCCTAAAGGACACAGTTTTCGTATTTAGTACTAATTTATCGGCCCTTTCTTTAGAACAAATACGACAGTTTTAGGAACTGTTCTCAGTAATATAAAATTCCTTAGTCTATCTCTCTGACCACTGATTAATTTAGTTTTAAGATACAAAATTATAAGATGATATGTCTCTTGTACATTTTAGCCTGACTGACATTTATATTATTATATATCATTCCTTTGTCATCTCCTATACCCTAAAGGACTGATTTTAGCGAGCGAGATGTTTTTATATTCTTCCTAGCTCTTAACTAAGTGTTTATTTTCCTATAGGAATCTCGACTACGTATGTAAGGAGGGGGGTCGATGCATAGTGGACGTCAGTCGCAGGAACCAATGCCAAGCATGTCGCTTCTCTAAATGTTTGCGAGTCAATATGAAGAAAGAAGGTAAGATAAACCCCATTTTTATATTTCGAATAACACCGAAAAAATGTTTTGCTATTTATTTACCTTCGCAATGATTTTTAGTTTTAAAGTAATTTCTAATAGTTGTCCTAGGATAGAAATCATTTCCTAAGTAGAAACTTGAGACATATTTGTAACGAATTACTGTAATTAAGGGATAATAAAAATCCGAAACTTCTAGAATTTATGTCTTTTGATCTTCTCTATCAATATAGAGGACAATTCCTAATACTCGTCAATACAATCTTTTTTATATTTCTAACAGTAAAAGTTATCATCATCATGGTAAATAAACGAATTTTTTACATTATAGAAAAATCTTTTAACGAAAAATATGATATTTATTGTAAAATCCTAACCATTGAAATGTGACAAATAGCGCGTTTTAAATCGATAACTGACGTAGCACTTGTCTCAATAAAGTATTTATCCAGGCGGCTTCTTCGCAGCATCTCTTTTCCATTAGTCGACATCTCAAGTATTTGCGGTACACAAGTAACGTAAGTGGCGATTGATAAAAATCGTGGGAGGTTTGCGGTCGATTTTCATCTGTTCGTAACCGTGTACAGTCGAGGACGTTTATTTCCTACCCATTGCGATTGTCAATTGCAATTACGTCGAAGACCTGTCAAAGCAATACATCTTAAATTATAGCTTTTACTGCGAGTTACGAATGCAACAACCCTAGTATTAATATAGTCGTCTTTATTTTATCAAAGATAATGAAAGGGATGTCAATACGTCAATAATGACAGTACATTGAAGTACTGGGGTTTATTGACATACGATACTCTAAATGGGAAGCGAAATAAATTCTTTGTACGTAGAAGTGTGAATATTGCACGCGACTACAACTGGCCTTTCGCACGATATGAAACATATTGTGGTATCGCCTACCCCTAAAATCAACCCCTTGGGTTACGAGTGAGGTTATTTCAACAAATGGTTGACTCTCCGATTAAATAATTTGAATGTTAATTGATATTTGATTGCAAAGTTAATTTGTTTGATTATTACCTTGATTTATTTGCTAAGTAATATATTTTTACGAAATACAATTGATAAAGTAATCGTAATTAAAATATGAAGAGGAATTACGGAACCAAACTCAGTTTAGTTTTTACAATAGAATATTTCTAACATAATATTTCACAGACAATTCGAAAATCAGCCAGTATTTAAATCACAAAAGTTTTTAGAAACAAAACAAAACAGTGCGGACTCAATTCAAGTCTATGAATTTATAAAATGTTGATAAAATATATCGTGTTTATATGCATACTTCTAACTTCTGAGAAGTAAGATGTCACTCGCAGTCTATTTGCAGTAGGACGCCGTCGAGAAGACGGGACCATAGACACTAATGTGATAGACATGTTTGTACTCTCACACTTAGGGGCACATGTCATGACCGGGCAAGCGTAGTACACCCTATATGTGGTATAATATGACAAATATATAATTATAGGGTGACCTTTGTAATCAAATGTATAATTTGTTAAAATAGTCACCAGTTATTTTTATTACGAACACTGATACAGTACAACAAGTAGTAGAGCAACAGTGGTAGAGCCCGCTTTAACATCTTCGCACGAATTGGCCAGGCTCGCCCGGTGAAATACCACGACCACACAGAAGACAGGCGTGAAGTGGAAGCAATTCCGCGTTTCGTCTGATGAGTGTTCGTCCTGGAGGCCTAATTTAGTCCTCTTTCCCTTCCTACGCTTTTTCTTATAAGGATGGGAAGTGGAAGTGGACTTTCCGGATGAGAGGATGCATGGAAATGTTTTCTTTCTGTGCATCCTCTCCTCCGTCCAATAAAGGTAGGCAACGCATATGCAATTGCGTATGTCTATGGGCAACGGTCACTTCGCCATTTCAGCGATTTCATGTGGTCGCTCGCTCGTTTGCCACCTTATGATATAAAAAAAAAACAGAATTATAGACAGTGAACTATAGAAAATTATAAAATGTTACTTTAAGACTTAGTACAAAGACGACCTTTAAGCCGTGTCCTTTAATTGACACCAAACAAAAACCGGTCGTAAACTTAAACTACGATTGTAATATTTTTCTTTTTAAATTGAAATCTGCGCAAATGAATTTTATAATTAAAATTAATTCGATTTTAATTTACTAACATGTTTTTGCCTACAGCTGTACAACATGAACGTGCAAGACGTCCATTCGTCCAGCAACAATATTCGTTGCAGAAAAGCTACGACTTCACCAGACAAGCGATTTTTCCACCCACACCTCTAGCTACATTCCCTCCCATAAATTCATACAATACTATCGATACGCGAACACCTTCATTCTCCGAACATACCTTTCACGATTTCTCACGATATCCTGATTCCTTACCACCAGATATCAATCCACTTATGCAAGCCAACTTGAATACGCTAAATCCATTTAAACTACCGATGTTTCCAACTTCCTTACACTATCCACAAGCCGCGTATTTCCCGACAAATATTTTCTATCCACCCATCGCTTTGGCGAACTCAGCGCACTTGGAAGCAAGAAGCACCAGTAAGTACTATATGTCAGAATAAGTATTTGTCCTCTCCTAATAGATTTTTATAGCGCATCTAGAGTTTATTTTAAGAAATATAAAATATTTTTAAATAAACTTGTTACTTTTGAAAAACAAGGCTGACAGTAATGTTGTAAAATTTAATCGTGAAACATGAACGACTTATATTTGTTTTGAAATGTAATTGAACTAGCTATTGCCCACGTTTCAAAAAAACTTATTTAGTAGCCTTTGTCTCCTTCCGTACTATTGTTTACATCTGTGCTATATTTCAGCGACATCCATGCAGCCGTTCTAGAGATACCTTCAAACATCCATCGCCCCGAACATTCGTATTTATAATATAAGTAAGATTAGATAATTTTCTTTTGTAACAGAACCCATTTTTGAGGATATAAATACACACAAATTGCGTCAACCATTCAAGGATGATGTAAAACCAGATTCCCAGTTAACAGACAAATTGAAAGAAGACGAAGTGTCAAGCTCAGAAGAAGCGTGCAAAAGCAATCTACCCGCTAGAACAAATGAAGACGGTTAGTATAGTGGGTTTCCACTGCTGAAACACTTGGATGTAAAATAAAGCAAAATGAGTTTCGAGTTCAGTTCAGCCAGAGTTCATAGTTCGGAGAGGCATTCCCCCCCCCCTAAAGTAGAGGTGGGGGGAATGCCTCTCCCTACCCCCTCTGGCGACGCCCATATAATTTGTTACTTAATATCTAGTAACTATAAGTATGTGATATTTATTAAAATGACAATTAATTTCAACGGGATTTTAGATCGAGACGGGATTGGTGCTACTTAATGTAATAATTTTCGTCCCTACACGAACATGTTGCGACCAGTTCGTGCCGCCACCAACTCTTGTATTGATACGTGCGGTGTGTTTTCTCATTATCTTGGTTAACTATTTATTATTGTTACATTATCGAAAGGTATCATAAAGTTGCAATCCGATACAAATTGTTTAGAGTGAAATAGTTTACTAGAAAAAGACTTACGACTTACTTAACTTGCAAAATTGTACCTTTTAACGTATCGTGGGCGTCAGCAAATACGTAACGGGAGTTCATTTCGCAATGTGAAGTATTAAAAATTACTAACTCTCAATATTTAGAAATAGCAGTCAGTTCTAAGACTTCATACTGTATAGTTGTAAGAAAATCGATATGGAAAAAGATAATTTTGATACAGAGAGTGCGTCTGGGACATCGTTAGTTACGGAGGAAACTTTTCGTCGTATCGACAGTGCGAAATGTTTCGAACACAAAACTCTATCTTCTATGGCGGCTGGGATCCGTGATGGCTTGTACGATCCCACCACTAAGCTACTAGTGCTTGCTGTCAAATGGCTCCACAATGTACCGGTCTATTTGAAAATGAATCCCCGCGACCAAATGCAACTATTATACAGTAACTGGAAGGAACTATTCGTCCTAACTGCTTCCCAGTATTCTTATTATTTTGATGAAGGTAAGTTCAAATTTTAATTGTGAATACATGAAATTAAATTACTTTTAACAATTTATAATGTACTTATTGGTGTCCTACGACTGCGTTCGCACGGATTAAAATGAAAAATAAGTTATAAGAATAGCCTGTCACACAGGGATAGCGTAGCTTCCAAATAGTGAATTAAGTTAGGGAAAGAATTTATCAAATCAGTACAGTAGTTTCGGAACGTGTGCAATGCAACTAATTAAAATATTTCTCTTAATAATTTATAAAAGATTATCGTGGCCCTTTTACCTTTTGTTTATTCCTCGAGTTTTATACTTACTTTCAATTTATTGTCTTTTACTTAAAGTTAGAAAAAGACGTCTGAGTAGATTAAGGCATAGGCCGTGTCACTTTAAAAAATCTGACGTTTTTATTTTACAGAACACTTCAAAACCCTGATTAACGTGAAGAAGCCAGATATGAAGGAATTATTGGATAAATTAACATCGCTCCTAAACAAAATTGTGAAATGTCGCTTGGATAATACGGAGTACGACTGTCTGAAAATTATGCTGTTATTCAGAAAAGGTAAGGCAAGGCGGCACCTATCTAGAATTTTAAAAACTAATCTAATTTAACTAACTTCATATCGAATAGCTTAAATAGACCCTTCCTGACTATAGATAGACGACCTATGATAAGGGTAATAATTTAAACCCAGTTTAAAAATACCAATTTCATTTAACAATTCGTTCGTGATGCCGAAACATTGAAATATTATCCCTTGTTTATGTGAATGTCTCGACAGTGGGAACTAATCTTAATAAAACTCGTAGATACATTGGAATACCCGTCTTCAAGTCGAATTGAAAAATTTCAAGAACGGGCATTGACAGATTTTCAAAATCATTGCTTGTTAAAAGATTCTGATCGCTCTGGAAGACTGATGCTTTTGCTACCGAGTATTTGTTTCATCAGCGCCCAAGGAATCTTAGAAGATTTATTGTTTCCAGCAATAGACAAGGATGAAATACACGTAATATTGTCACGTATATTATTATACTCTGCCATTTAATAAGTTCATACTAATATTATTAAAACATTTATAATTTTTAATTTGTATTTACGTGTCTCAGTTTGTACTAAACGTAACGTAAAGTGGAATAATTTTTACGTTATGTTACTAAAGTAGATCTGATATAAAGCGTTCTAATTTTTTTAATAGCAGATTTTTTTTGTAAATTTACTAATATTTCTTTTACCATTCCAAATAAGCTCTAAGCTTGTACTAGGATATGGTTTAAGACGATAGTCGAATTGCGGGATTCGAACCCCCGAAACCTCGTGATCGGAAATCCGTACCTTTAACCATTAGGCTATTGACGCTTAAATTCTATTTGTATCATTGTTTTGTAGTTTAGCTCTTGTTTACGATTAGTCACGAAAATATAAGATGTAAGCAATTAGATTACTCATTTACCGTGAGTTTGTCAAACCAAAATCTCCGTGTAAAACATATTGTTATCTCGGTTTTGTCAAAGATGATAAACAGGGATGACGATGTGTTTTAAACGAAGTTTTTAGTCTCAGGAACCTACGGTTAGACGATGTTATCACTATCGGAGTTTGGTCATTCTACTGACTTACATGTAATAAAAATAATAGTATCTAAAGTAGGAGTAATCAGCTATGTAAGATTATAAGTCTTGATGTTAAAATGCATCCATAAACATTAGTCGCTGTAACGACGTTTCTTGCTTTAACTTTCACATTACCGTAGACTTCCACTGTTGAATTGCTCTAAAACATATTATCTTCGTTTTTCAGCCAACTATTGTATATTTTTGCAGTGGAAACCGATGGTTAAACAATTAATTTTCCAAAATTACGGACATCCAGATATAATTTTTTCTGCGCATTTCTGCAAACCGCATTCGAATCGTTCATACGTCCCCTAAATCTTATCAATGGAAATTGGTAAATACGATAGCTATACTTAACTATCATCTAGTGAAATAAGATTTTTATCTTTTTAACCTGTGTTAAGTTTTCATTGTCATTACACCTGTATAACAACAATATTTCCTGCCACTTTTTTATAATAGTTGAAATTCAAGATCCACAAACACTTTTGAAGAAAGTTTCAACGAATACTCGCCTACTATGTAATGTCAATAACTTCTTAAACAAGTTTGTTCTTTTCTATTCTTTGATAATCATGCATATCCAGTGTAGAAACATTCATACAAAAATTTATTTTACTCCCATTTTCTTCGATAAAATGGATATTTTTGTATGGATGTTTTGACAATGGTAACTCATAACTATAAGATTATAATAATAAAAGATTTTTTACGTTTTTTTTGTCTGTGTAAGTTTATTTTATTAATTTTATTTGTTAAAAAAAATATATTATTTTGTTCCTATTTTCGTTACCAATATAGTTTTGCCAGAGTTTAAATTGTTATCACTATCTGCAATTATAATTTCAATAAATATTTTAAATCGACATTTATTTCATTGATCCTAAGTAATAATAATCCTACCCTTTTATAAATATACATACACATTTACATAGCTCTAGAAATTTCTATACTTTTTCGGTATTCGTGGTTCGATTTCGGTTCGAAAACAACACAAATTTCTAAGAGCTTTTTAAATGTATTTATATTTGTGCATCCGACTTTCAAAACAGTGTGCCATTTTTTTGGTATCGGATGGGGGGGAACCTTCGTAAAATACCCTGCCTTTTTGTAGGAATGACAGGGTTATGTGAGATTCTTACTCACTAAAACCCCATCGGTTGCCAACCTCTAGTGCGACTGCGAGGGTCCCGGGATCTCGTGTGCAGGGGGTGGAAACTTAGAAGAAGGACGGTTTGTATGGAAAGTGGCGCCACCTTTTATATAATGGTAAACATCATTTCATCTCATGGCTGAGAAGAAGCATCATTTCTGTCATCGAGACATTCATGTGTCATCAAACCGCTACGTTTTTTCGTATTTCTATTTCTGTTCTTGTATTCTTAGTTAATTGTTGTTTCATTCATTTTGTTTTTAATTAAAATGTGTTTTCATGAAAAACGACGCTGTATGCAACTGTGTTTTAGATGGACTGATTATGGTAAGTTACAATTCAATAAAAATTTTCATGTTATTCCCATACGTCAGACTCATTTAAACATTTAAATATTTTCGTATTTTGGTGTAGTTTTTAGCACCACAGTGATTTATACTTTCCGGTTTTCATATTGAATGGTGCCCTACTTCTAATACATTTTACATATCAGTTCCTATACTTGACAGGAAATCACATTCTGTTTGTTTGTTGTAGGTGCACATATACACGGTTTCCCCCTTCCTGAGAGAAGGTCAGTGAAGTTCAGAAAATGTGTGCCAATCACTGGAATTATAGAGCCATAAACTGATGTGTCTGAAATTAGTAGGTGGGTCCATGTGTGTATATGTAAAAAATATATTTTTTTATTTGTAATTTTTTATTGTAAAGAAAAATCTGCTTGCCTATGTTGTAAGAGAATATGTTCAGAGTGTTTAAACTCGCAAATAACTACAAATTGCCAGTTGCCAGCTTGCATGTGACTGAAAATATTTTGGGGTTTGGTTTTAATTACAGGGTATGCATTTTTTTGTGACCGCGCTTTACTATTTATTACCGTAAATGTAATTTTCAAATATATATATTAAAAATTAAAATATTGAGCTGATATCTTGAAAGTCGTTGATGTATATGTACTTGCATAGATTTAAAATTAAGTTTTGTAGAAATATAATAAATAATGTACAAAAATATAAAAATATTTTGTTTTTATTTCCCCAATAATAATAGGATCATTTTAATAGAGGTATTTCATAGAAGGCTACTTGATATCGGCTCACTATATTAATAACTACATAAGTGGGTATATTATTTTTGAACATTGATTTAATGTCAATTTTAACTTTATTAGATTCCCACTTATTAGTTATTAATATAGTGAGCTAAATATGCGTGCTTACATATATAGGTACCAAAAAAAAAAAAATTAGTTCACCGATTATACGCATGGAGCGCCACAATCGCCGTGGATCCACGACTTCGTGCGAGTTGCCCCTCTTTCTATAGTATACTTATTATACTCTTTGCTCGTGTGCCTAGCATGAATATTTGCGACAATCCTTCGTGTCATTGTCAAAACTAGTAGGAGATTTTTGGTTTACTTTAAGTCCGATAGGGGGCGCTGTATCAATATTTATGCCCAAATGTGTCCTTACGGTGAAGTTTCTTGAAGTTTGCATTACGTCATAATATAGATTGCTCACTAAATATAAGGGGGTATTTATAATAAAAACACATTCCATACATGCTACACCAATTTATTTTTAATATTGTCAATTTATTTGAACGCCACATCGTTGCAATTATTGAATGCTTCGCAAGATTTCAAAATAAATAAAGTTAATATTAACCAATCAAATTAACCAAGTGATACATTCAAACATTAAATTTCAATATTACCTAAACCTTTGGATGTAAATGTAAACCTATGTAAAATGTTTTAGGCTACAGGGTGTGAAATAAATTAAACTAGCAGCTAAATATGTATGAGGTATGCTATTACTTAAGACATCGTATAGTCGAATGCAATAGAAATAAGAAATTATAACAAATCCCTAAACAAATACCTTTATAAGGTTGTAATTAACGATTTATTAAAAACATTGTATCAATTAAGACACTATCTATGGGTTTCTGAGTACAAAATATCTGTATAAAACATATCGTCGTCCTTGTCTTTCATCTTTGGCAAAACAGAGATAACAATATACTTGAAACAAGGATTTTGGTCTCAGAAACTCACAGTAAAAGTTTCCAAAGTAAATCCATATCAATATCATCCACATTGTCAGTTAGTGACATGAATATAATTTCTTATTTGTATTGAATTCTACTAAAAATATGCGTTTACGGCAACATTATCAACCCATTAAGTTAAACCCTACATTTAGTGCCCTCTCACACTCTACGGTAATAACTACCAGTTGATTCACACGACCATAAGTCAATTTAGGCCTCAGTTCCACTAAATTTTATTACACGAAATAATTTTTAAACTTTCATAAAATATACAAGTAAGTACTAAACAGGTTTAAAAAATAAAATCAATTACAAAAAAATGCATCATTTAATCTTAATACTAAAAACTGCAAACTGACTACATTTGGTTTTGTGTGAAACAAACTGTACCTAAATTACATTTATTGCAATCGCACCGTGGTCTATGAAAACTTTAAAAATGGCGTTAAAACACAGGAATAAATAAATATTTCTAATACAAAAAATGTTTCTGTCCCCCATATAGTCACAAATATTTTGTACAGCCAAATATTAAATTAGATTCAACATTTAAAAAATTAAAAAAAAATGTATATAATCGAATTTATTCGTTATTAATAATAAATTGTAAATAAGCAAATAACGATGTAATATGATTTTTTCCATTAAAATCATATATTTTGAATACACAACTAAATCGAAACGTTTAACGTCACCACAGACGTATTACAAACATATTTAGTTGTATACAAAATATAATAAAAATAAAACAAATAGATTTGGCATTTCATTGAACACCCTATAAACATACATAATCAAACTTAAACATTTAAATTACGCATTTATTTAATACATAAAAAAAATTTAGATAAAAATACAATATTTGACTGAACAAATATTCATGGCATTCTACTGAACAAAAACGTTCACTAAATAATTAAGTGAATCGGTGAATTTAATTGTTGTATTCCACTGCGGTGATATATTGATACATATTGTCAACATTCAATCATAAAGAAAGAGATGACCACATATATCAAACATAAGTTGTGGACAGTGGAAACTGACATTTATCGTTGTGTTTACTTGCCGAACTGTTTCATGAGCAGTTCAGTGCTGAACGACTTTGGTCGCTCGATAGGGAAGCCGAGAGCCCTGGACCAGATGAGTTGGGCTAATACTCCCAAAGCGCGAGACACACCGAACATAACGGTGTAGTAATTCATCTCCTTCAGACCATAATACTGTAAAAGATAAATTTTTATTTTATAATTCTCTTTTAATCTCATTAAAATTATAAATGTAAATGTATGGAAGGTTTTATGTTCTCCACAAGGGTTCATGGATCTTGATGAAATTTAGTCTAGATGTAGGTCAGCGTGGAAGAACACATAGGCTATCTATCCCCGAATGTGTCCAATTCCCGTGGGATACATTCGAAAATATTTAATCGACATTTTGTAACGGTTCGAAATAACTTATTGGAGTAAATAGAACCATTCATCCCTTTTTCAGGCTAATTGACCATCAGTGGCAGATTACAACGTAACACTGGAACGGAAAAATACCATTTTTTCTATAAAATTTTAATTTACCTGTAAGAGGACACCAGAGTGCGAGTCTACATTGGGCCATGGGTTTTTGACCTTGCCGAGCTCGGTGAGAATTGGAGGCACAACTTTGTACACAGCGGCCACCAGTTTGAAGAGTGGGTCGTTGGGCAAATGCTTCAGAGCAAATTCACGCTGGCAAGTGTATCTGGAAAATAATAAATATGTTACATCAAATAGTATATGATAAGGTCTTTTTATAACTACGAGTATAATTTGTATGACGCCTTAACATTGAATCGAATACACTATGAAAATGGTTATTAGTGGTATAATCTGGTTTTTTGGCGCATTAATAGCGCTGGTTTGAAATTCTCCGAGTGTGTAATTATACATTCTAATTTAGGGTTTAATTTTTATAAATTATTACCAAAGTAACGATATTTACTGAGCATAGTATTCTGATCAAGTTACACTTTATTATTTTTGCTTTTAAATTACAAATTGTTTATAAACAAATTGTCATAACATCCAGCATTTAACATCATCGTCGTTATTTCTTATATCATTTTTTTTAATATTGTGGTTAGCTGCATTTGTAAGCAGGTAGGAAGAAATAGCACGCAGTGTCTCGAAATTGCGAGCCGCATTAAAGTTTGGATTGTACTATACCAAACTATATATCCATGTTTCAGAGTTTCCAATAGATGCAATATTAACCTGGGATCGGTCTTCCTGAGTACAGCGTGTCCATAGCCGGGCACAACTTGTCCCGACTTGAGGGTCTTCCAGATGAACTCCTTCAGTTGTTCCTCTGTGAAGTTGTCACCGACTTGCTTACGCAGCTTTTCCAACCAAACAAGTACCTAAAAGGACAAGGATATATTTGATTTATGCATAGAAATCTAATCAAGAAAACAACTAATATTTTTTGTAATTAAAAAAGTTTACTGTATATTCGTCAATTATTTTTAATTTTGTTCAAATAAATTGAGTCAATTTAGCAACTGAACATATTCATTATCCATTTTTAAATTTGTCGTGTAAATATTGATAGTCAGGCACATTGATGTCACTGATCTGTCATTCCTAGTTTACATCATTCCAGTTCGATGGTGGTTTTCAACTGGAAACCCAAACAGGGTATTAAGAATAAACAACTGGGCATTAAACTATATATATATTTTTAGTTTAATTATAATAAATTTACTAACTTCTTGGTTAGCCAATCCGTGCAGAGGTCCAGCAAGACCGTTGAGACCAGCGGCAAAGGATAGATAAGGATCGCTAAGAGCAGATCCTACCAAGTGCGTTGTGTGCGCCGATACATTGCCTCCTTCGTGGTCACTGTTGACAAGAGTACGACCAAATTAAATATACGTCCCATACAAAGTCATACAAGTGTACAAACATGAAAGTACAAGTGAAAAATAATAAAATCGCAATGCATATTGCTGCAGTATTAAGTTAAAATTTTTAACACAAGCAAATTTTTATTTTCAAACGACATTTTTTCGTGATTTAAAAATTATCTAATGAAGTATATTTAGTATAGAATTTCATGCATTTTATTAATATTAATTACGAATAATCGCAAGCGTTTTAATTAGGGTTCTATACCTCGAAAGGAAAAAAAGAACCCTTATGGGATCATTTTGTTGTCCGTCTGTATGTTAAGACCATTTTATTTCAAATCTTATACATAAAATGATCTTCAATCTTTATATTAGTTACTTAAAAGATATATGAATCATACATATTTTTCTTCTTATGTTTGTTAATAATCAGATAATACATCTGAGTTATTCGATTGCATAACAAAATTCTAGAAAAAAAATGTGATAAAAACGACAATCAGATATGACGGATAAAGCTAGCAATGATATATCAAATGCAAGCTGTTTTTATTCAGCTGTCGAGGTTATTAGTTACAAGAATTTTGATAAAGATTATATGTAAAAAACTCGCAACGAAAAACACATGATAATATGAAAGATGAAATTCAAGATAATGGAAAACATTCGCAAAATAAAACGGCACAGAGTAAAAATCGCTAAATAAATCGCAAACTGTATTAAAACTTAATATACCCACAACTTTGGTAGGACGTTTGAAGTACAACAGAAAAGGTTTGTGCTTTAAAAAATTGTTTTTTTTTCTATATATATAAAATAAAGTCGTGTTAGTTACACTATTTATAACTCAAGAACGGCTTTACTGATATAGTTGAAAATTGGTGAGGAGGTAGCTTAGAGCATGGAGACGGACATAGGATACTATTTTTTTTTTTAAATTTATGTCTTGAAAAGCTGGTTTTTATTTAACTTATCTATATATTTAGTTTTTTATATATCCGCGCGGATGAAGTCGCGATCGTCAGCTAGTTTGAGATAAAACTAATTGCTTGCACTATGATTTCGACATTATTAGGGTTTTGTACCTCGACAGGAATTAAACGGAACCCTTATAGGTTCACTTTGTTGTCTGAGCGTCTGTTTGTCTGTCATGACCCTTTTATACACGCGTAAAGGTATCATGCTGGAATTTGTACTGATTTAAAACTTTTGTGTACAGACTTTAGCACTGTAGTTAATAAAGGTCGAAGGAGACAAATAAAATTAAATAAAAAAACAATTACTAGAATAATTACAATAGTTAAATAATTTTTCCATTACATTGTTTGAGTCGTAACTATTAAAACGTTATCAGAATAATTATAAAGTCGAGGAAAATCTTTTAAATAACTAACATTTTTAATTACGCAACCTAACCGTGGATCATTGAGGAATTGTGTACAAAAACGTTCATCTCTTTCTTTCTCTTAGGCAAAACAGAGATAGCATGTTTTTTTGTTCGTCGTCGGTGAATATTCATAGTTAACAAATTGTAATCGGGGTTTTTTCCACTTACTTGAAGCACAACTCATGTTTTTTTTGTTTTTATATTAACGTCTATTTATATGTATCTATGTCATTACAATATTCACCAATAGTTGACTCTTTGTTTTAACGAAACGTTACATCGCCTTGCGCTTATCTCACAATTTCATATATTTGAACTGTCGACGAAATTTAATCCGAATGACGTCACTTCTCACTAAGCATTTGCTTTTGTAAAAACAATTATCGCCAGCGGTATTAAATTTAACTTAATTTCCTTTATTCCAAGTGCATGTTTTATGTTTAATATTTCCACCTATTATCTACCTCCTATACTGACATACCATGTCCACCTTTTGTGTTTACATGTTTTTTTTTAATTTAACATTAGGTGCTTTTTTCTTTACTACTTTATCCAGAATTTGCAATTTCATGTCTAACGATTAATATCAAGACAAGAACAATTCGTATTTTTATGACAAAAAAATCCGCAAAGCAACTAGCAGTAAGTACAAAAAAAACAATTTATTAAGATGTTAGTGACAACCCACATGAGCGTCGTCGCTACGGCGTGACGTATTAATTAGCAAATAATATAACACAGTAGAACAATAAATTTTCAGACCGCAATCTTATGTAAGATCCCGCATCGTCACATCTTGTTTGCATTACGACGTTTTATCGTCTTTCTGATAAACTTACCGTGATATATTTTAGCACATATTTTCGCTTGTTATTTTAAAAGCAATGAGAGAGATGACAATATCGTTTTATACTAGTGTTTCTTCAGTAAAAAGGCACAGAAATGGATACCTTTAGTAACTATCAGCAAGTTATTCGCTACAGTAACACCGATGCGGCGCAGTTCATGTGACATATCCTTAATGCAAACTGACCTGTGAATGGTGAGGTAGAGTCTCATCAATTCGCTGAACTGTGGGTCATCAAAGCCGAGCATGGTGCAGTAGTTTGAGGACCAGTCCTTGTTGTCATCAATAGCGCCAATACCTTTGCCATCACGGTACGTATTGCGATAAATAGTTGCAGCGATCACGGGCAACTTCGCAATCAAGTTCATTGAATCTTCATATACGTACTGTGAATTGAAAAACAAACAACATGTAACAAACTAGAAAGAAAGCCCGGCTTATGAAGTTTACACTATACCAGTTGTATGCCAGTACTGGTTTTGAGTGCTACTGTCCTACTGTACTGGCATAATGTAAACCAGACAATATACCCTGATGTAGAATACATATTAAGTGTCATCTCATTTTTTAATTAGTCAAGTTTAGGCTAAAGAAGATTGGATACCCCGAAGAGTATTATCATATATTTGAGTAAATATAATGTCATTATCTTTTCGAAAAATATGAAACCTTTTATTTCAGGTCATCGTTAGATATCTTGGTGCATCACCTCAAAGTACTGAAGCCGTATACAAGGATTACGTAACATAAGGCGGAGCGATTCTTGTTAAATGTACAGTCAACGTAACAAGGTTTTAAAAATAAAATATTTAATGCTATAATATTCATAAATATTAAAAAAAATTATGATTGTGGATAAACACATTACTAATAAAAAGTTATATTTTTTTCGGAGTGAAAATTATTTCGACACATACGACGAAATCAGTAATATGTCTGGCGAGTTCCATAAGAGATTATGATGACATTGTTTTATATCGCATTTTTCAGCAACATACAACTTACCTCCCAATACTTGGATTTGTGTACACCCTCAGAGTAAGCTTTCGCGAAGGTGGACTCGCTGTTGAGTGCTGTCACTGCAGCAGAGAACTGCGACATTGGGTGCAGTTTGCTGGGCATGTTGTTCAACATGGTGACAACATGAGCTGGCAACTCGGCTCTATAATAATAAAGTTATTTGTAAAATTAGTTTAATTAAAAGTGACCTAACAAATCATTACCATCACGAAAAGTTTTTATTAGCTTTTTTCTTCTTAAATAAAATTGTACAATTATAAGATTCTTCGTGATTGTACTTTAACGTGCACAAAGTTGCAAATTGTTTTTAATAAATAAAACGATTTTCATTAGTGATACTTAGCCGAGTTGACACATGTAGGTGGTCGCTATTATGTACTTATAAACTAACATTACTTTATAACTAGATTTATTTCTGCCTACCTGCGTGCCCATTCCTTAGAGATGGCGTTTACTTGAGCTTCGGTTGGTATATCTCCAGTGACTAAGAGCCAGAAGAGACCCTCGGGCAGGGGTTCATCGCCCCCTTTAGCCTTGGGCAGCTTCTGTTGGCACTCCGGGATAGACATTCCTCTAAACCTAATTCCCTCATCGGGATCGAGGACAGATGTTTCCCAAACTAAACCTTTGATACCGCGCATGCCACCATACATCTGTAACATGGAACGAATTAGACTCTTGAATTAGGAATAACATAATTAACTACCAAAAAGTATATGTCTTTTAACACTTTCCGTGCTCTTGTTAGAAAGTAAACTTGCATGGTATTGAATGTGTTAAAACCGACATGAAAACTAATTATAAGAAAAAATGTCAAAACTCCTTCGATTTCAATATTAAAATGAGTAACAGAAACTATACTTTTTAATATCCGTTACAAATAAAATACGTATTTGACACTTTGCGCTCGTTATCAAACACATGTCGCAAATAAAATCATATCGCAAACTTCGACATTACTATTTCCTTTAAAAATCAAATCATAGTTGTATATTATGAAATTTTGTAGTAATATTTTGAATAATACTTATGCAAAAATGAAAATCTTTACTTCAATAACTTAAATATTATGACTGGTTTTTAATAATATTAGTCACTACCAGACACTGAATACCTCCACATATCTGTCTAATCTAAGTCAATATTTAGAATATAAGTAAGATAATGCCACTTACCATGTCAACGGTAACTTCTCCAACTTTGGAAGATCCATGCTGTTTGCGGAATTCGCGGATTTTCTCTTGTTCTTTGGGAATTTTCTCTTGAAGTACATTCTTTAGATTGGTTTGTTCGGCGCTTAAGTTCCTTAGCAGGATAGTCGCTGCCGGGTATAGTTTCTGTAACAAATGATGTATTTAAGTCTATGTAAAATGTATTATCATCAAAATGATTCATGTTTCGTTTTGCAAAATATATGCTCACGATATAACATCGTATGTTACGCTTCATACGATGCACGATACTTGTCAAAGAATTAAATTCACTTTGGATAGAATATTTTTCACACTGCTGTTGCTATGCCATGATTTTGTCCTCATTAAATGAGGAAAAATATTAGAAGCTCTCGGTAAGTGTGGTCAGCACCAAAAGCCCTGTCATCTGTCAATGTTTTGATACGTTATTCTCGCGATTAAAAAAAATATAAGTATATTAAATTTTTACAAACAAAAGCAAACCCACTAAATGATTACAACTTTATATGCAAATAATTACTTTATAAAGTAGGCAAGGTACAGAGTCTTAGACAAATAAAGATTCTGATAAGGATTTTGTAATTAAGAATGAACCGTGTCACATTAACCCGGTCAGCTATTGTGTCAATGCGTAGAATTGGTAATTTGAGATTTCTGGGTAAAGTCGTTAGCATTCGTCACTTCATTACAACAAAGTACGTTTCTTGTAATCTTATAGATATACAGTCGAACTTGGACAAGCAAGAGTCCAAGATATCGCGTTATTTTTCACTCATATAGAGGTTTCTCGATTATGTGAGTCGACAGAGACAAGACTAACTAAAGTTAGGTTGCCACAAAAATAAATTGAATTGAGAAAATTGAACAATAAAAATGCACTTTTAAAATACATTTTCTGTTCAATAGCATATTTTTTTCCGATTTTCCATTGCAAAATTCTAGCCTGAATAAATTTCTATGTCGGAGAAGGTCGGTGCAAGGTGATCGGGCGTCATTATATAAGATTACGATGATGTTAGGCGTCGACCTCATTCCACTCATTGTAAATAATTCTATTAATACTTATTATCTCTACGTGCATTTATTACAAACTGTATTACGTATTCTATACTTTATTCGACTACCTTCCAAAATCAATATTGATCCTTGAGATCGATCCGAAAATAATTTTTAATATTAATATTATAAATGCGAATGTTCGGGCGGAGTTTGTTTGAAGGTATCTCCAGAACGGCTGAATAGATCTCGATAACATTTTGTATAGATGTAGAACATAGCCCTGAAGAACGTATAGGCTACTACTATTTATTTTTTATACCGCAAGCGTAGTCGTTCGTACATCCTTGCTGTGGAAATAAATCCGCGGTTCGTCAGGATGAGTGTATACCATTTCCAGCATATAAAACGAACAAGTGGTGACATTATTCTTAATGGATATTTATAGCAACCGTGACCTTCCTTTCTTTGGTACGGGGACTGGAATGGGCCCTATACCATGCACTACATAACACGTCAAATGATACTACGATTATTGCGTACAAAAGTGAACACGCAGGTTAGTTGCTGACACTTAACGTGTTAATATCGGAGGTAAGTTTATTATGTCCACTATTAATCAAACTTGCTACGTTCTTGTCTGTAATCTTCTAGCTTTATTTCTACATTTCCTATGTCATGTGAATCTGATTGCACGGAATTAAAAAAAATTGACAGACTGTTATAATATTAATACATATCTATGTCAAATTTCAGAGAGATTCGTTTAACTGTTTGCTAATTAAATAAAAAACTATATAATATAATAAACTATATACATATATATAATACACGAAGATAAAGGATGGATAGGAATTCTATAAAGTGTCAAAAAAGTCAAGTTGATAAAACATATACAATTAAACTCAGAATTCTGTTGAATAAAACTGAGTATTAAATAAATGATAAAATTAAATAAACTGCGATGCCGCAACATTGTAATAATGTACGTTTCAATCAGCGATTGCAATGATACAAGGTCATAAAGGCAACAGTTAAACTCTGGCCCTATTGGCCTAACCTAACACCAATATAATTGACATCGTTTGCCAACACCATCTTTCGTATCTAATTAATTCAATGATTCTGAGTTACAACAATCGTGAATGCATCAATTCATGATGACCCAGTCAAATCTGCCGCACTCATAGTCCCTTGAAGCGACAAGAGTGTAGTGGTTAACTAGGTTAATGAGACACTCAAATCACAAGGCAATGTTTTAAAAATACTGAATACAGCCGAGGCTTCATTTTACTTGTATATGGGTAAGTGGGTCACAGAGTATTCGACCTATTTATGTAGTTCCATGATTCCAACATTCAGTGTATTTTTTTCTTAAAAAAATCATCTCTCGCTTCTTCTATAATAGATTCATATCTACATACATGAACGTTTGTTTCGTTTCAACATAATATAATCACTTAAACAATGAACAATATTTTATTTCTTTTAAGGGCCGTTACTTCTCGAAACCTTCACACCGTCCACAATGACGTCATTACGTAACTATTGGTTTAAGTTATATGTTTGTATATCGAATACAAATAAAATCCTGTTTATATTATATATAAAAATGTTTAACAATAGTTGTATGTATAGAATACAATAGTCAGAATTGTGCTCATGACCATAAAATGAAATCGTTGTAGCGAGAAAAAGATAAGAAGTCGTTTGTGGTAAAAGATTAACTGCATTTTGTCTAATAATTGCATATATCATATTTATTTATAATAAAAATACTTCAAAGAAAGACATTGGCTGGCGACAATGATTCGAATAAACGAACAAAGACATATGATAAACATTAATAACGTTTATAAAAAAGAACCGGTTTTAACATGTGTAGGCCTCAAGTAAGCCTTGAAACTTCCCAATGTATTTTAACCTTATTTAGGATTATTTAAAGATAAGATTAACAAATAATTAACTTGAATCAAAGTCTCAATCAAAAGGGATTGAATAGGTGAATACCTAAAAAATATTTTGATCTACACAACAATTCATTAACTTTAGATCTAAAATCCTAACTTAAACTAATACACAGAAATAATAGCTTATTTATATTTAAAATAAAAGGTTTATTTTATTACTTTTAAATTCAATTCGCAAACGGCTAACGCTAAAACCATCGTGTCGAATCGTATAATCAATACGAAACGTTCATTGACCTATACCGTTAACTTTTACGACCAAAGTCGTGCACTTCCTTCGTGTTTTGTATTAAGAAATTTCGTTCGAAACAAATGAAAATGCAGTAATTATTTGAACACTTGAAACAGAACTTGAAAGTCTGCTTGTCACATAATATTGTCTACGTGAACAGACGGGATGACTAAGGGAGGTTTCTCTTAGGACTTTGGGTGCGGCAGATATAGTTTATTTGTTGCTAACAGGAGCGTCTTAAGAGAAGGTTAGAAGAACACTATTTTATTATACGTATGAAAAAACTAATATGTTGCCCTCTTCATTCAAGTTTTAATATATTATATTAAGTATCGACATAAAATCTTGTTAACTTAATAATTATTCTGTTTTTGTTGAAACGGGGATTTTTGTGATTCATTGAAATGTCCGACATAAAGGTTGCTTGCGGGACGTGATCACGTCACTTTAAACTGTAACCAGATAAATTGTTTCCTTGAGGAAATAAAAAAATATACATATTGGATATCAGCTGTAGCATTTTCTAATGTAAATGTTATTCTATATGGGAATATAAAATTAATATTAACATGAAATGATTAATAGATTACTTTTGAAGAAAAAGTCACTGACAACATAATCTATACAACTTTTGATTTAATATTTCCATAGATTTATACTACGAATAATGAAAATTTACAACAGTACTATATAGTATTATGAGTAACAGTACTTAATACAGATTAAAAAATACATATAAGTATTATACATAGCTTCATATAAATACAATAACAACTGTTTAAACTCAGACGCAATACGCAGTATGAAATCTTGTATTTTTAGCAGAGCTTTTATACTTGCATATATATACGCTTTTCCAGATCATTCTACGTAATAACATATAAGAAGTCTTCGCAAATAATAGACTTAAACCACAATAATAGTTGTGGCTGTACAAAAGCAATAATCTGTGGACAAATAGTTTGTAATAATAATAGTACGATAAAAATAAACGAGCTAACACTAAGAACAACTACTTCTTTGATTTTTAAAGTTACGTACAGAATAACGAAATAACTTGTTGAAATGCTATCCTATCCAATACTTTCCTATCGATATAAGTTCAGTTTTGAAATAATCATATTTCTTTCTTTTCTCTTTCAACGTAAATAACGTTATTCTCTTTATAATAATCTAGAAATTTCTTCATCGATTTTCTTTCTAACCACGAATGACTACCAAAGGTTTACGTCACGAAAGTTTAAAGGGATTAGGGATACAACTAAGCTTATTGTAACCAGCATCAAAAGATCATCGAGTTTTAATTCTTTTGACAAATCGTATTAAATTCTTTAGTAAAGTTAGCCTTGGATGTTGTCAGCAATGCTTTATGTTGAGATCAATGTCAGCTTTAAGGAAATAGGCCTTTTTAAGGAAATAAACAACACTAATGGTCTCAATTTACATTTATTTTGAAATAAACAACATCTGTTAAAGTACCTCTTTGAAGGTTTTGTTTATTTCATAACTATACTAAAGCTATAAAATAAAAAGGTATAGGCAGAGATGTTTGTCGCATCATGAACTCGAAAGCCGTACATAAACTAAAACGGGAAGTGATGTTTTGGAATCCGATTTTATATAGTTTGAACTTAGTAGAACATAATCGACCTTCGATTGTTTAGTGAATTTCCTACCGCAGTTTTTGTTATGCGATCAAAGGTCTTTATTTTCCGTTTGATCGCTTTATCAATATAATCGATTATTTGTAAGACGTCTGACAGAAATATCGCAATACATGATTTCTTTTAAAGTGAAATTAAAAAGTAGTAAGATAATTTAACTAAATATCATAATTAGTCAACAAGCGGTTCAATCATTAGTAATCCATTACTGTTACGCGTTCAATGTAAGTGCCAATTTTCAAAAGCTACACCTTGGCAGTACTCAACGCGCAAAACAATGTG